AAGCTCAAGTGCTCTGCCCACCTCGGCCTCCCAAAGTGCTAAGATTACAGGCGTGAGCCACTGTGCCTGGCCAGTTTGTTTTCAACATAGCTGACTTAGGATCATGTCAGTCTTCTGCTCAAGAACTTGTAATGGCTTCCCGTTAAACTCAGTAGAAGCCCAGGTCCTTACTTTCACCACCAGCGACCGAAATAATTCTGTGACGCTCTCCTGTTTTTCTTATCATTTAGTTTACTCTAAACACACCCGCCTTGATGATGTTACTTTTTTTTTTTTTTTTTTGAGACGGAGTTTCACTCTTGTTACCCAGGCTGGAGTGCAATGGCGCGATCTCGGCTCACCGCAACCTCCGCCTCCTGGGTTCAGGCAATTCTCCTGCCTCAGCCTCCTGAGTAGCTGGGATTATAGGCATGCGCCACCATGCCCACCTAATTTTTTGTATTTTTAGTAGAGACGGGGTTTCACCATGTTGACCGGAATGGTCTCGATCTCTTGACCTCGTGATCCACCCATCTCGGCCTCCCAAAGTGCTGGGATTACAGGCTTGAGCCGCTGCGCCCGGCCTGATGATGTTTCTTAGCAAGCATGCTTCACATCAGGGCTTTTGATGTTTATTTCTCTGCCTGCAATACTGTGTCCTTATAGCCTTGCCTCTTTCTGATTTTTGCTCAAAATTCACTTTATCAGTAAGGCTTCCATACTCTCCCTATTTAAAATAACAGCACCTACTCCCCACACCAGCACTGCATCCCTCTTCTAATGTGTCTGCTTTCTCTGTACCTCCTTGATATCACTATCTAACAAATTACTATTATATATTTTACTTATTTATTGTCTGTCTCATTCTATTAGAATGTAAGCCCCTCAAGAGCAGAGTGTTTAGTCTGTTTTGGTCATTACTATTTACTTTGTATCTAGAACAATACGTCATAACATACTAGGCACTCTGTAAATGTTGCATTGAACAACTAAATATTCAAGATAGCATAGTGGAAAAGTGGTAGGAAACTTGTATTCTAGATCTGTTGCTAAGATTAAGTAGCATCTCAGTCTTATTATCTGAGTCAACCAAGAAATTTGGCATAGGTGATTGCTAATACAAACCAGAATTTTGTAATTCTGAAAGAACCTTAGAGAACATCTTTTTTTTTGAGACGGAGTTTCGCTCTTGTTACCCAGTCTGGAGTGCAATGGCGCGATCTCGGCTCACCGCAACCTCCGCCTCCTGGGTTCAGGCAATTCTTCTGCCTCAGCCTCCTGAGTAGCTGGGATTACAGGCACGTGCCACCATGCCCAGCTAATTTTTTGTATTTTTAGTAGAGACGGGGTTTCACCATGTTGACCAGGATGGTCTCGATCTCTTGACCGTGATCCACCCGCCTCGGCCTCCCAAAGTGCTGGGATTACAGGCTTGAGCCACCGTGCCCGGCCTTTTTTTTTTTTTATTTTTTATTTTTTATTTTTTATTTTATTTTTATTTTTTTTTGGTCTCGATCTTTTGACCTCGTGATCCACCCGCCTCGGCCTCCCAAAGTGCTGGGATTACAAGCTTGAGCCACCGCACCGGGCCGAGAACATCTTTAAGTGTAAAGTTTAAGTCTCAAAATTCAGAAACATTGTTCCACTCACCAGTATCTTTTTCTTTGTTTTTTTTTTTGAGACGGAGTCTTACTCTGTCACCAGGCTGGAGTGCAGTGGCACGATCTTGGCTCACTGCCACCTTCGCCTCCTGCGTTCAAGTGATTGGTCTGCCTCAGCCTACCGAGTAGCTGGGACTACAGGCTGCGCCACCACACCTATCTAAGTTTTGTATTTTTAGTAGAGATGTGGTTTCACCATGTTGGCTTGAACCCAGGAGGTGGAGATTGCAGTGAGCTGAGATTGTGCCACTGCACTCCAGCCTGGTAACAGAGTGAGATTCAAAAAAAAAAAAAAAAAAAAAAGAATGGCTGGTGTGCAATGGTGCAGTGTTGACTTACAGCAGCTGCTACCTCTCAGCCTCCCAAGTAGCTGGGATTATAGGCATGTGTCACCATGCCTGGCTGATTTTTGTATTTTTAGTAGAGATGGGGATTTACCATGTTGGCCAGGCTGGTCTCAAACTCCTGACCCCAAGTGATCCTCCTGCTTTGGCCTCCCAAAGTGCCGGGATTACAGGCAAGGGCCACTGTGCTCAGCTGGCTCCTCAGTTTTAGATTTGGATTTTATAGTTAATTATAGCTAACCTTTTTATTTGGAAACAATCCAAGATCATCACTTCACGATGTTCAGATTTCTTCAGTTTTATGTGTGTGTGTATTCAGTTCATTGCAGTTTTATTGGTAAGAGCTTATTTATCCAACACTACAGTCAAGATACAGAACAGTTTAATCACCACACAGATTCTTCATGTTATCCTTTTATAGCCATACCCACTTCCTTCCTGCATCTCCTAACTCCTGGACCCCTGGCAACAACTAATCTGTTCTTCATTTCTATAATTTTCTCATTTCAAGAATGTCATATAAATGAGACTGGGCATGAAAGCTCACGCCTGTGATCCCAGCATTTCAGGAGGCCGAGGCAGGGGGATCACCTGAGGTCAGGAATTCGAGACCAGCCTGGCCAACATGCTGAAACCTCATTTTTACTAAGAATAAAAAAATCAGCTGGGTGTGATGGAATGTGCCGGTAATCCCAGGTACTTGGAAGGGCTGAGGCACAAGACTCACTTGAACTGGGAGGCAGAGTTTGCAGTAAACTGAGATTGCGTCACTGAAGTCCAGCCTGGACAACAGAGCAAGAATCTGTCTCAAAAAAAAAAAAAAAAAAAAAATGGACTCAGCGCTTTGGGAGTCTGAGGGGGGCGGATCACCTGAGGTCAGGAGTTCACAACCAGCCTGGTGAAACCCTGTCTCAATTTTAAAAAATACAAAAATTAGCTGGGCATGGTGGCATGCACCTGTAATCCCAGCTACTTGGGAAGCAGAGGCAGGAGAATTGCTTGAACCTGGGAAGTGGAGGTTGCAGTGAGCTGCGATGGCGCCACTGTACTCCAGCCTGGTCAACAGAGTGAGACTCCGACTCAAAAAAAAAACAACCCAACAACATAAAAAGGAATAAAAGAATGTTATGTAAATGGAATTATAGAGTATATAACCTTTTAGGATAGTTTTTTGTTTGTTTTTTGTTTTTTCACTCAACAACCTGGTAAATCCAGGTAATTGTGTGGCGGTATTCTTTTCTGTTTATTGCTGAGTAGTAGTACATGGTGTGGATGTACCAAAATTTGTTTAACCATTCACTCATTGAAGGACATCTGATTTGTTTCTAGTTTGGGACTATTATGAATTACGCTGTTATGAATATTTATATGCAGATTTTGGACATGTTTTTATTGCCAAGAATACAATTGCTGGGTCAAATGTTAAGTGTGTGATTTGCAATTTACTTTAAAAATTACCAGATAAAAACCTTTTACTGGCCAGGCATGGTGGCTCACATCTGTGATCCTAGCACTTTGGGAGGCCGAGGTGGGTGGGTCACCTGAGGTCAGGAGTTCGATATCACCCTGGCCAACATAGTGAAAACTCGTCTCTACTAAAAATAACAAAATTAGCCAGGTGTGGTGGCACACACCTGTAATCTCAGCTATTTGGGAGGCTGAGACAGGAGAATTGCTTGAACCGAGGAGGTGAAGGTTGCAGTGATCCTAGATCATGCCCACTGTACTTCAGCCTGAGCTACAGAGCAAGATTGTTTAAAAAAAAAAAAAAAAAGCCAGGCTGGGTGCGGTGGCTCAAGCCTGTAATCCCAGCACTTTGGGAGGCCGAGGCGGGTGGATCACGAGGTCAAGAGATCGAGACCAACCCGGTCAACATGGTGAAACCCCGTCTCTACTAAAAATATAAGAAATTAGCTGGGCATGGTGGCACATGCCTGTAATCCCAGCTACTCAGGAGGCTGAGGCAGGAGAATTGCCTGAACCCAGGAGGCAGAGGCTGCGGTGAGCCGAGATTGTGCCATTGCACTCTAGCCTGGGTAAGAAGAGCGAAACTCCATCTCAAAACAAAAAAGCCTTTTACCGTTAAAACTATTTCTTTTTTTTTTTTTTTTGAGACGGAGTTTCACTCTTGTTACCCAGGCTGGAATGCAACGGCGCGATCTCAGCTCACCACAACCTCTGCCTCCTGGGTTCAGGCAATTCTCCTGCCTCAGCCTCCTGAGTAGCTGGGATTACAGGCACGTGCCACCATGCCCAGCTAATATTTTGTATTTTCAGTAGAGATGGGGTTTCACCATGTTGACCGGGATGGTCTCGATCTCCTGACCTCGTGATCCACCTGCCTTGGCCTCCCAAAGTGCTGGGATTACAGGCGTGAGCCACTGTGCCCCGCCGTAAAACTATTTCTTCTTATATTTCTTTCTTCCTTTTTTTGAAAAGCATCATTTTACAGTTCCTGTAAAGCTGTCTGTCTCTTAAAACCCAGTGTCGGCCGGGCGTGGTGGCTCAAGCCTGTAATCCCAGCACTTTGGGAGGTCGAGGCGAGTGGATCACGAGGTCAAGAGATCGAGACCATCCCGGTCAACGTGGTGAAACCCCGTCTCTACTGAAAATACAAAAAATTAGCTGGGCATGGTGGCACATGCCTGTAATCCCAGCTACTCAGGAGGCTGAGGCAGGAGAATTGCCTGAACCCAGGAGGCGGAGGTTGCGGTGAGCCAAGATCGCGTCGTTGCACTCCAGCCTGGGTAACAAGAGCGAAACTCTGTCTCAAAAAAAAAAAAAAAAACAAAAAAAAAACCTAGTGTCTCTGTAGATAGTTTACATTGCATTATGAACTCTGTGTGACAGCTGGCAGAAATCTAGCCCCCGAATTATTGCAGGGTACTTTCCTTTCCTATCAAAAAGTGTACTTGGCCTTTCTAAGTATTAGACCTTGTATTTGTCTTATTTTGGTATTTTATCTTTAGTTTTTAATGTTTAGTAAATGTTTGCCTTTTATTTTCTCTCTTTACAGCGACTTTGTGACTATGTTTGTGACCTCCTCTTAGAAGAGTCAAATGTTCAGCCAGTATCAACACCAGTAACAGTGTGTGGAGATATACATGGACAGGTAAAATTTCGTGAGCAGATTTTTAAGTTTTGTACTGCCTGTGATCCATGTGTGTTTCTACTTGTGCTTCAAAATTAAAACGACAGCAACAATAAACACAACTGGTTGGTTGCCTCAGTCTCTGTGGCACTGATGATTCCTGGCTTACTGTTTTGGTGAATAAAAGCAGTGGTCAAATTAGTTATGGAGTTTGTTGATATTACATTTGTTCAGTGTATAATGCAGCATTATTTTTCTGTGGAATGGTGGGGTTGTGGGTTGGTGGAAGATATAAAATAGAAACATATACTGTTCATAAGAACTATGATTAACAGGCGATGTTTTGGCGCTTTGAGTTCATTGTTCTACTCATGTTGCATATTGTTGTAAATTTATCATTTCTTTAGTGGAAATGAGAATAACAAAGGTTCAGAAGAATAAAATTGTTGGTCCATGATGTCACAGCAAATCACTGACAAATGAGCTAGAAAAGATTTAGTGCCGTTTTCATCTGCTAGGTGTGTGTAAGAATTTCAGAGCAGTAACAGGAAAGGCATACCTCATATTTAGATTCTGTTGTCAGTGTTTAGCCTAATATATATTTGTAGAATTTTTTTCACAGGGAAATGAAAGCTGAACAGACTGATGTATGCATACAATGTAGTTGGGGCTATAAGACTTAATAATACATTGCAAACAATGTAGTCTTTATGAATGCCAACAGGACCTACTGTCAACTATGCAGCTTCCCTGCCTTAAATATGACTGTGTAAATGAGCAGAAATGTGTGTAAATTGGCTCTGGTTAGGGGCTGCTCCATGAATAAAGTCCTATTTTGGCTACTTACTTAACAGGGTGATTTTCTTTTGTTTTTTCCAAGGTGTTTTCTGGATGGTTGAAATTATTTGAAAAAAAACCCTAACACCTGCATATCATCAGCTCCTAGATAGAGGCCCCATTATGTCATCTTTGATCTGTTAAAATTACTGAGACTGAAAGATTGAAGAAATAGCCCAAACTCAAACACAGCCACTACAGGGCAGACCTGAGATTTGAAACTCATTTGGGTTTCTGTTGCACATGTTATTTTAAGGCCACCACCAAACTGTGAACAATTGTTTCTTTTGTATATGTTCCTTAAAAACAATTGCTAATCAGGAACATGGGATTTGAGCCTCTAAACATCTATTGGCTGATTAAATAAAATGTAAAATGTATCCTTTGGGACTTATCTTCCTCTGGGGCCTGTTCTAGAATTGCAGGATTGGGTTCTGAGCTGTGTAATCTAGTCAGCAGTTACAGATTTCAGTGTCAGATACAACTTGGTTTAAACCCTGGCTTGGCTGTATATTAGCTATTTAAGAAGCCATTTCAGCTAGCTCACGAATTCGTTAAGTATGGCCTATGGACCCTTGGGTTTTCTAATGTGGTACAGAAGCAATGGAGGGTAAAACTGCTAGTGCCTTAGCAAGATTCAAAGGAATGACACTAGAATATGCTGATTATTATTGAATTATTCACCAACATGCACGCACAGTAAAATAAAATGCCAGTGAAACTTAACTCTTCAATCCTTGAGAATATACATTATTTGAAAAGTTGGCTGGGCATGGTGGCTCATGCCTGTAATCCCAGAACTTTGGGAGGCTGATGTGGAAGGATTACTTGAGGCCATGGGTTCAAGACCAGCCTGGGCAACCAGGTGAGACCTCCCCCCATCTCAACTCCTGACCTCAGATAATTCACCTGCCTCGGCCTCCCAAAGTGCTGGGATTACAGGTGTGAGCCACCACACCTGACCTGTGACCCCCATCTCTAATAAAAAAAATTTTTTTGTTTGAGACAGGGTCTCACTCTGTCACCCAGGCTAGAGTGCAATGGTGTCATCTCACCTCACGGTAGCCTCTGCCTCCTGAATTCAAGTGGGTCTTGTGCCTCAGCCTCCTGAGTAGGTGGGACTACAGGCATGTACCACCACACCTGGCTAAATTTTATATTTTTAGTAGAGATGGGATTTCACCAGGGTGGCCAGGGTGGCCTCAAACTCCTGACCTCAGGTGATCCACCTGCCTCAACCTCCCAAAGTTCTGGGATTACAGGTGTGAGCCACCATGCCTGGCCCTCATCTCTTAAAAAAAAAAAAAAATTAGCCAGGTTTGGTGATGTGAGTGTGTACATTCTAGCCACTCAAGAGGCTAAGGTGGTAGCATTCCTTGAGCCCAGGAGTTTGAGACTGCAGTGAGCTATTAATCATGCCACTGCACACCAGCCTGGGCAACAGAGTGAGACCCCATCTAAAAAGAAAAAAAAGTCTGTGTGATGAAATGGGAAGTATGCATAAAGCATATCTGCTGCATGCCGAAGAAAGATGGTTTACTCAAGGAAAAGTACTTGTGGCCTGAGTGCAGTGGCTCACACCTGTAATCCCAGCACTTTGGAAGGCCAAGGCGGGCAGATCACCTGAGGTTGGAAGTTCAAGACCAGCCTGCTCAACATGATGAAACCCCATCCTTACTAAAAAATACAAAAATTAGCCAGGTATGGTGGCGGGCACCTGTAATCCCAGCTGCTCAGGAGGCTGAGGCAGGGAGAATTACTTGAACCCAGGAAGTGGAGGTTGCAGTGAGCTGAGATTGTGCCATTACACTCCAGACTGGGTGTCTCAAAAAAGAAAAAAAAGTACTTGTGAAATTCTTTGAGTCATAAATTAAAATAACTGCTTTTTATATGGAACACTATTTTAACTTGAGAATGACTGACAAACTGTGATTATTTAGACCTTGGGTATTTGGCAACTATATTTGCAAAAGTGAAGGAAGTGAGCCAGTCACTTCAAGGACAACAATTGGCGGTGTTTGTTGCTCATGACAAAATTTGAATTTACTAATGAAAACTTGGAATTTTGGAAAATCTGAGTCCACCACCTTGAGGCTAACAGTTTCTAATAGTTAAAAGACTTTTCTGAGATGAAATGAGCAGTGATACTAACAGATATATATTTTTTATGATATATAATGCCATGTCATTTTCATTGTTCAAATTACTCATTTACCATCCACTTAAAGTGTAAGATAACAAATATAACAGAGTATGAAAGATCACTATTATGGGCCAAGTGCGGTGACTCACACCTGTAATCCCAGCCCTTCGAGAGGCTGTGGCAGGCAGATCACTTGCGTCTGGGAGTTTGAGGCCAGCCCAAGCAACATGGCAAAACTCTATCTGTACTAAAAATACAAAAATTAGCCAGGGGTGGAGGTGTGTGCCTGTAATCTCAGCTACTCAGGTGCCTGAGGCGTGAGAATTGCTTGAAACTGGCAGTTTGAGGTTGCACTGAGCTGAGATTGTGCCATTGCACTCCAGTCTGGGCAACAAGAGAGACCCTGTCTCAAAAAACAAAAAAAGAAAAAGATCACTGTTATGGTTTCAGATTTATACTGCAATTAACTTTTAAGTTTCATAAACTGCCACTTGTCAAATTTTGGTACAGTATTAAAAGAAAATGGATACAGTTATCTGAAAAGGTTATTAAAATACTCCTTCCTTTTGTAACTGCCTGTGTGAAGCTGGATTTTCTTCATCTACTTTACTCAGTGTATCCCAACAGAGTGAATGCAGAGGCAAGTTATGAGACTAGCCATGTTTTATTTAGCCAGACGTTAAAGAGATTTGTGAAAATGTAAAGCAATGTGAATTCTCTTCTCACTAAACAATTATTTTATTTATTTTGGAAAAGTTAATTTTTTATTAAAATATGTTTGTGATACTTTTTCATGGGTATGTTACTGATTTTTTTTTTTTTTTTTTTTGAGATGGATTTTCACTCTTGTCACCTAGGCTGGAGTGCAATGGTATGATCGCAGCTCACTGCAACCTGTGTCTCCTGGGTTCAAGTAATTCTTCTGTCTCAGCATCCCAAGTAGCTGGGATTACAGGTGCCTGCCACCATGCTGGGCTAATTTTTGTATTTTTAGTAGAGACGAGGTTTCACCATGTTGGTCAGGCTGGTTTTGAACCCTTGACCTCAGGTGATCTGCCTGCCTCAGCCTCCCAAAGTGCTGGGAGTAAAGGTGTGAGCCACCATGTCTACCCTATGTTAATTTTTAAAAATTAATTTAAATATTTAAAACTTCTGAGTTTTTTTTTTTTTTTTTTTTTTTGAGACGGAGTTTCGCTCTTGTTACCCAGGCTGGAGTGCAATGGCGCGATCTCGGCTCACCGCAACCTCCGCCTCCTGGGTTCAGGCAATTCTCCTGCCTCAGCCTCCTGAGTAGCTGGGATTACAGGCACGTGCCACCATGCCCAGCTAATTTTTTGTATTTTTAGTAGAGACGGGGTTTCACCATGTTGACCAGGATGGTCTCGATCTCTCGACCTCGTGATCCACCCGCCTCGGCCTCCCAAAGTGCTGGGATTACAGGCTTGAGCCACTGCGCCCGGCCAAACTTCTGAGTTTTAATCTCTAATATGGTAAATACTGATTTGTAAAACTTACATAAAAGATTTTGGGGACTTGTGGTTTTTAAGATCACAAATGACTGCTGGGCAGACTGTACGTTTCCTTGCCTCTAATAGAAAAAAATCCACTTCCCAGCTGGGTGCAGTGGCTCCTGACTGTAATCTCAGCATTTTGGGAGGCTGAGGCGGGCAGATCTTGAGGTTAAGAGATTGAGACCATCCTGGCCAACATGGTGAAACCCTGTTTCTACTAAAATACAAAAAATTACCTGGTCATGGTGGCATGTTCCTGTAGTCCCAGCTACTTGGGAGGCCGAGGCAGGGGAATTGCTTGAACCTGGGAGGCGGAGGTTGCAGTGAGCCAAGATCGTGCCACTGCGCTCCAGCCTGGGTGACAGAGTGAGACTCTGTTTCAAAAAAAGAAAAGAGAAAAAAATCTATTTCCCAGGCTGGGTAAAGTGGTACATACCTGTGCCACTGCTCATTTTATACTCAGGTGGCCAAGGTGGGAGGATCGCTTGATCCCAAAGATTGAGACCAGCCTGAGCGATATAGTGAGACTC